CCTATTGAAATTAATGGCTTCTGATGGAGGTGACCACAGAATTAATATAGAAGATATAGAAAATTCCTAGAGAGCGCATATTTAAGCAGATGCAGATAGGTGCCACCATAGGTACAGGTCTCTTTAGTATGGAGATCATGCTGAATGTTCTGAAATCTGAATTTTAAAAAAAGGCATGACCTTGGCATTTGGAGTAACCCAGATATGATTATACATACTGAGGAACCAGATTGTGTAATCAAATGACCAAAGACTCCCAGATCTGATATGTCAAATACTTTTGACCCAGAGCAGAGAAGACCCTACCTCAAAATACAAACATTGAGTATTACTCTTGCAGCTTTAAATCCCATCCTGAAAGAAAGACAGGGTATAAATTTGATCAGTACTATAAAATAAACTTAAGAGGTCTGAGCCATGTTCCATCAGTGAACTAGCAAAGTATTTCCTTCATAATCCTTTGATGCATCAGACATGGCACATTGAATGTACTTTTGTACCTTTAAAGAGTTATCGAAGAGAAGAAAAGACAATAAATTTCAGGCTTTTCCTTTAAAGCCTTTCAGTTCTCAAGAAGATTTGATGAGTAGAGCGGAAAAGCTGCATGTCAATCCTGAAGTGTTTCCAGATGTAATTGCAACAATGGAGTCTTTCATTGTTTTCTATGGGATAATAAGGACAGGAACACAACCTCTTAAACATCAACTGCTGACTATGTTCATAAAGTTGCAAAGGGGGCAAAGGACAAGAAAGGAGGGAAGGTAGAATTACCGCTTAGAAAAGAAAGTATATTTGAGCTTAAGCTTTGACAGACTCATGCCCAATTCATTAAATGCCAAAAGATTGGAGTCCTCAAAAGTGCATGCTGAAATAGATGAATGCAGTTGCATTTTTCTACCAATGTTTCAATATTGGTAATCTTTTTAGTGGCCACTCTTGAGAGAATAATTATGGAATAATGTAGTGGACTAATAACAGAATCCATTGGACTGTGACTTGAACACTTTTCAAAGTTTATTTTTGTAAGTGGGTGTTGTGGCCATGTTAGTTTGTTGCAGCAAAAACAGCAGGGCATCTTGAAGACTGACATGGTTTATTTGGAATGAGCTTTGAAGGACCTTATCTCATCTCTGAGTTGGATGGAAAGTTGCCTGAGTTGGCAGATTATTATACACACATTTGGATGGGAGTGTTTTGGTAGCTGGCTGTGGGAGTTGGAATTTCATAAAGTACAAACATCAATCATTACAGTATCTTGAATGGTAGTACAGAAATCTTATAGTAGATTAGTTTTTTTAAAAATAATATTTATTGAAATTTATACTTTAAACTAAAATATATAAAAGAAAAAAGATAATAAAAATAGAAGCAGAGACAAAGAGGGACAGAATGAAAAGAAGAGAGGAGGAAAGGGGAGAAGGAGGAGGAGGAAGAGAAGGAGAAGGAGAGAGAAAGGGGGAAAGAAAAAAGAAAACTGAAAAATAGATATTGAATTGAAGATTCTTGACTTCTGGGTATCTTCCTGAGGTCTTTCCCTTTTCTATCTTTTTGTTCTTCTTCTTCTTATCATATTTCTCCCTCCTTTCTTCAATTTTTCATTTTCATATGACCACTTTCTTCTCTATCACATCAAAATCTTCTTTTTTCTTTGCTTTAAGTATTCAGTTATTTGTCTCCAATCTGTTTCCTTCATTTCCACTCCCTTATTCTTAGACATGAGAAAAGTAAGTCTATCCATGTTTCTGATCTCTAATATCTTTGAAAATATGTATTATGTTACCTAGACTGTTTGTTACCTATAATACATCAGCAGTCTCTGAAGGAAATCATTCCTTGTCCCCTGTCCCCCCCCCCCCCCCAGAAATTACTGTATTTTCCTTGGTTATTTCCCTTGTGTAAGCTTTTTCCCCTATCAGTGAAAAAACATCCTATGGTGATCTGACAAGAACACACTTGAAACGCCTCTTCTTTAAAAAAAAGGAAAACATCAGACTTAGGCCGCATCTATACTGCCATATAAAATCTAGATTATTTGCTGAACTGGATTATATGACAATGAAGACTTATATAATCCAGTTCAAAATAGATAATGTGGATTATTTGCTATGATAATCTGGATTATGAGGCAGCGTAGAAGGGACCTTAATCCCTTTATTAAGAAAACCAGTGAGAGAAAAGTCAAAAGAATCACAGGGAAATCACACAATAATAATTAGGTGATGGAATCATGTGAGTGGCCCATATAAACCCACTTATGTACATTCACTCATATTGAAAGCAAGTCTGTAAATGCATATTGTTAAAAACTGGTCCCGTGATTAAAGAGATGTGGACAGCGTTCATCTCCAAGATTTGTGTTGATTTTCCTTTGGCATACTGAGATAATAGAACATTCCTGCTAAAATCAGAATATCAATTCTATGGTTGTCTGTAGGTGTTAATCACTACCTCTGCATATCTGGTTTGTCTTGTAACATGGCCGAGAGTAAATCAATAGATTTTTCTTTATGTTGGTTAATAATCAAATGGGTGTACTATGTCTCAGCTGATTAGAAAATAATAGATATGATTTATATGTGCCCATGGATCCTGAAATAATAGAAACAGAATTATTTCTAGCAGATACAAACCATAGCCCATTCTCTCTGAGAAATAAGTTTCTGCACAAACACATAGCAAACTGGATGGGCAATTACATACAAAGCCTAATGGAGGCCAGGTTTCAACAAGCCAAGTAAAAATAGATTAACTGAATAACCTATAGTTCAATTTTTTTTGGGGGGGGAGATATATTTTATGTTAGCATTAACTAACCTTGTCAAACTGTAAGTCCCATGATTTTCATAGCATTTATCCAAGGGCAGTTTAAGTGCTATCAAACTGCATTAATTCTACAATGTAAATGCACCCTTAGTTGTAAATTAACAGCAATGGGAATATTAACAGCTTGATTGTCAACTTAGCAAACAGGAGGATAATATATTCTGTTTTTCCCAGTAGGTAAAGGTACAGGTTTCCCTTGACATTAAGTCAAGTCGTGTCTGACTCTGGGGGGTGGTGCTCATCTCCATTTCGAAGCCGAAGAGCTGGTGTTGTCCATAGACACCCCAAGATCATGTGGCCAGCATGACTGCATGGAGCACTGTTACCTTCCCGCAGAAGTGGTACCTATTGATACACTCACATTTGCATGTTTTCAAAATGCTAGGTTGGCAGAAGCTGAGCCAAACAGTGGGAGCTTATCCTGCTTCCCAGATTCTAACTGCTGACCTTTTCATCAGCAAGTTCAGCAACTCAGTGGTTTAACCCACTGCACCACAGGGGGCCCAGTATCTCTCAGTATAAGCTTTCAGTAGATTGTAGCACTCTGAGTTTCTATTTTAGAAAAATTACACAAAAAGTAAGGAAGGGGAGAAGCAAAGAGCTGCCTCTTAGTTTTTACAAAATGTAATGGTCACACATTCCTAGCAGGGTTTCGGAACTATAACTGCAACTTACTACATTTTAAAACGGTTTCCAAAACTTTGCATGCTTTTAATACATTCATCCAAGACTCTATAGAGGCATATTTATTTCCTGAAATGTTGAATGCCCCCACATTTGACTCCTTGAGTAATGGAAAACACTCAGGTGTTTAACCTGCATGCAGTCATGGGCAATTTACTGTCATCTGCCATCAGCTCTTAAGCCTGCATTTTTTATTTTGCTTGTGTAGCTATTTCATTTGTTTGGAACATTAGCATATTAGGTAGCTGTTAGAGACTCTAGACAAGGGTGGATTAAAAAAAGAAACAACAACCTTATTAAATTTATATGGACAAATCACAGGACTGTACTCAGAATTAACCAATATACAGTAACTGCCACCTCCTGGTACATGCAGTCACTGCAACTGACAAAATATCCCAGATAAATATATACACGTGCATGAAAAGATGAAGAGGGTAGTGTTCAACCGTAATGAAATTTGAAGGAAACGGCACTCTCTAACTTGACGCCTTCCAGAGGTCATGGGCAAATGCTGGTACTTTTCTCCCTCTGAGATGAAGGTGGTGGCAGTTGAGATTGAGAGGGAGTCTTTTATCAGCTTCATATGAGCATGGTGAGCCGCGGTGGCACAATGGGTTAATCCAGGCATGGGCAAACTTTGGCCCTCCGGGAGTTGAAGTGAAAACACCTGGAGGGCTGAAATTTTCCCATGCCTGGGTTAAATCTTTGCACCGGCTGAACTGCTGACCTGAAAGTTGGTGGTTCGGATTTGTGAGATGGGGTGAGCTCCAGTCTGTCATTTCCAGCTTTGGAATATTTGGACTTCTAGATAAGGGAGACACAACTTGTACTGAATCTTAAACCTTGAAAATCTCTTTTGTTAGCTGCTCCATATTGTTTCAGTAGCATAAAAACTGTACTGTAATTGGTCCATTTTCAAGAAAGCAATAGAAGTCCCTTCAAAATCATTTTAAATTGTGCCTCAATTTAAAACATGACAAATTGAGAATTAAGCAGGGAAAGTTGTAGACCAGGGGTCCTCAAACTATGGTCTGGGGGCTGGATACGACCCTCCAAGGTCATTTACCGGGCCTCGCTCAGGGTCAACCTAAGTCTGAAACGACTTGAAAGCACACAACAACAACAACAACAACAACAACAACAACAACAACAATAACAATAACAATGCTGTCTCATCAGACAAAAGCAGGCCCATACTTCCCATTGAAATACTAATAGGTTTATATTTGTTAAAATTGTTCTACATTTTAATTATTGTATTTTAAGTATTTTTGCACTACAAATAAGGTATGTGCAGTGTGCATAGGATTTCGTTCATTTTTTTCAAATTATAATCTGGCCCTCCAACAGTTTGAGAGACTGTGACCTGACCCTCTGTTTGAGAAGTTTGTGGACCCCTGTTGTAGATAATATTAAGAACTGAAGAGCAAGCTCAGCAGCAAATAGAAAGGACAGTACCTTAACTGACAGTTCCAAATGCCTCTTTACTGGGAGTGATTCAGAGCCTGGACTATCCTTTCCCCTGCATTTGTGATAGGACAGCAAACAACTCAGGACATCATCTGAGCAGCTGGTAAGAAGACTTTCTTTTTGTTGTTGATAGAGCCTTATGCATCCCTATTCAAACAGATTATGTATTTTCTAAGACAATCTCATTTCTGCTTTTAATATGGTATGCAGTTATTTACCACATAAATAAATGTTTACGTTCCACATTGCTTCTCTGTTGATTGTATTATTTCCCATCTTTGAGATATTTATGACAGTTGTTAAACATTAATAAAAGAAACAGTAAGAAATCCCTTTGCAAAGAAAATCATTATATCGAAGAATTTGGTATCTTTCTTGCTTTTATTTATTACCAAGTTTGGATCTTTGAGAGTAACTGCCAACATAGTTAACAATGCAATTGTACACATATCTACATAAAAGTAAATTCCACTGAGTTTGATGGAATTTATTTCCATGAAACTTACTAAACGACTGCAGGCTAAAGCATTTTTCCATAATGTGCATTGCTGTTTTCTGCCTTCAAGTCATTTCTATCTTATGGCGATACCAAAGCAAACCTATTACAGGATATTAATGCCAAGATGGGAGCTCCTGGTGGCGCAATGGTTTAATCCTTTGTGCTGGCAGGACTGGAGATAGACAGATCAGAACTTCGAATCTGGGGACAGCATGGATGAGCTCCCTCTGTCTGCTCCGGCTCTCCATGCGGGGACATGACAGAAGCCTCCCACAAGGATGGTAAAACATCAAAAAAATCAAACAAACAAACATCTGGGCATCCCCTGGGCAATGTCCTTGCTGACAGCCAATTATCTCACACCAGAAGCAACTTGCAATTTCTGAAGTCGCTCCTGACACACACAAACTGTCAACATTTGTTCAGAGGAGGTTTGCCTTTGCCTTTCTGAGTATGAGACAGTATGATTTGTCCAAGGTCACTCAGTGGGTTTCCATTGTTGAGCAGGGATTCAAAACTTGGTCTCCAGAGTTTTAGGATGCATCTACATTGCAGTTTCACACCATTTTATCTGCCATGGCTCAATGCTATGGAATCCTGAGAGTTGTAGATTGGGAAGGCACCAGCAATCTTTGGCAGAAAAGGCTGTTGTTGTTCATTCGTTCAGTCGTCTCCGACTCTTCGTGACCTCATGGACCAGCCCACGCCAGAGCTCCCTGTCGGCCGTTACCACCTCAGCTCCCTCAAGGTCAGTCCAGTCACTTCAAGGATGCCATCCATCCATCTTGCCCTTGGTCGGCCCCTCTTCCTTTTGCCTTCCACTTTCCCCAGCATAATTGTCTTCTCTAGGCTTTCCTGTCTCCTCATGATGTGGCCAAAGTACTTCAACTTTGTCTCTAGTATCCTTCTCTCCAGTGAGCAGTCGGGCTTTATTTCCTGGAGGATGGACTGGTTGGATCTTCTCGCAGTCCAAGGCACTCTCAGAACTTTCCTCCAACACCACAGCTCAAAAGCATCTATCTTCCTTCGCTCAGCCTTCCCTAAGGTCCAGCTCTCACATCCGTAGGTTACTACAGGGAATACCATGGCTTTGACTAGGCGGATCTTTGTTGCCAGTCTGATGTCTTTACTCTTTACTATTTTATCGAGACTGGACATTGCTCTCCTCACAAGAAGTAAGCGTCTTCTGATTTCCTGGCTACAGTCTGCATCTGCAGTAATCTTTGCACCTAGAAATACAAAGTCTGTCACGGCCTCCACGGTTTCTCCCTCTATTTTCCAGTTGTCAATCATTCTTGTTGCCATAATCTTGGTTTTTATGACGTTTAGCTGCAACCCGGCTTTTGCGCTTTCTTCTTTCACCTTGATTAGAAGGCTCCTCAGCTCCTCCTCGCTTTCGGCCATCAGAGTGGTGTCATCTGCATATCTGAGGTTGTTAATGTTTCTTCCAGCAATTTTCACCCCAGCTTTGCACTCATCCAGCCCCGCACATCGCATGATGTGTTCTGCATACAAGTTAAAAAGGTTGGGTGAGAGTATGCAGCCTTGCCGTACGCCTTTCCCAATCTTGAACCAGTCTGTTGCAGAAAAGGCTAAAAATACTATAAAACTACAAGTACCTTGATTCCATGGCACTGAGCTGTTAAAGAATCACCCTTAGTTCAACACTCAAACCACTACACTATACTTTTGGTTTGATATTATATTTCTTAAATTGTAGAACCCCTCTAGCATTGTGCAACCATATACACAATGATATGGGCAAATATGTTAAGAATATCAGTACACAATAATCATTGTCTGGTTCTATTAAGCATATGAATTTTTTTTTGTCGTGTCAGGAGTGACTTGAGAAACTGCAAGTCGCTTCTGTTGTGAGAGAATTGGCCATCTGCAAGGACATTGCCCAAGGGACACCTGGATGTTTTGATGTTTTATCATCCTTGTGGGAGGCTTCTCTCATGAGGAGCTGGAGCTGATAGAGGGAACTCATCCATGCTCTCCCCAGAATCGAACCTGCAACCTGTCAGTCTTCAGTCCTGCTGGCACGGGGGTTTAACCCACTGCACCACCGGGGGTTCCTTCTTATTCTAATGTGCATAACACACAACAACAAAAAGACTTTATATATATATATATATATATATATATATATATATATATATATATTGAACTGAACATGCTACAGAATACAATCAACATTTTAAAAACATATTGCTTCTCATGCAATTATATGAGAAATACAAAGTGACATCCTCCTTTCTGTTCTGCAAATGTATTGTGCAGCTTGAATATATGTGTGTGTGTGTTTACTTAGGGTCCTTCCAGACAGGCCCTGTATCACAGGATCTGATCCCAGGTTTTCTGATTTAAACTGGATTATATGAGTACACACTGCCAGATAATCTGGGATGAACAGAAAACCTGGAATATAGAAGCATGTCTCACTGAGTTCAATTGAGTTCACTTTCAGCTAAATGATCTCAAGAGTGCACTCAATCATCCATGCTTATGCACATTTACTCAGAAGGAAACCCAAAATTGTTCAATGCTATATATTTTCCATGAAAGTATGCACAAGATTGCAGTCTAACAATCCATTTTTATCTATTCTGAAATATGCCACATGCAGTTCAGTGAGACTTTCCCCTAGGTAAATGTATATACGATTCGAGCTGCAGTAATCATTACCATCATCCTTAAGTTGCTTTTGAATATATTCCATTTTACAGGTGTCAGAATTCCATTTTGTACAAAAACATATTAGAAGGATACTCAAACCAAACTGCCAAATGGGGTGTGTGTGTGTGTGTGTATTCCTGTTTCTTTGGCAGGGGGTTGGACTGGATGGCCCATGAGGTCTCTTCCAACTCTATGATTATATATATATACACAGCAGAAGTATGCAAGAGTGAGCAAAATATAATCCTCTACTCTGTGTCTTAGAACTGTCTGGACTCTTTATTTCCAGCAAAGAAGACAATTGTCCCAATATTTCCAAGAATTGTTATTTCCTCCTTGGATACATCTCATGGCCCCTTCATACTGTTTTTTTTTTTTTTCAAATCCAGAAGCGGACATCTTTTTGGCAATTATGCAGAGTCCCAGGGCAGTGTACTTTGGACTCATTTTCTGTCCAAAGTCCCAGGGTAGGAAATTGCTTCCCACTTCTTCCCATATTGTCCACCCCAGATATAAATCAAAACCAAAATTATTCAGACATTTGGGTAGGAATACCTGCACAGAGCTGGCACAATTGTAATACAATATGAACTCAAATGTATGCCCCAGAGTTATGGCACAACAAGGGCAATGAATTGGAACAAGTATGTCACGGCCAAATACTTACTCCACCACCTGCCAAGTATTCTCAGTTGTACATACTCTGAAGATATTGTTTCTGGAATGAAAAGGTCACCTCATTGTCTCATCTTTGTTCAGAACAACTGGCTTCTCATAAATCAGATGGAGCTAATTATCCAAATGCCTCCCTAGGACAAAAAAGTGCTTCAAATCAGCACAGCATATGCATCCAGCTACTTGGCTGTGATTTCTAAGAATACTGCATAGGAGGATCTCACCAAAACTGGATCTCACTAAACAAAACTTATATTGGAAATAAATGGTGAACAAAATGAGATTTCCTTCTAAGTAAACATATGCAAGATCAGGTTGCATTTTGAATTTAGAACAAGGCCTCTTTCTCAGAAAGGTATTTTGGCTGCAGGAACTCCCATTGGCATTGTTGTAGTTAATTGCCAAGAAGTTGGCTTCAATTTATGATGACCTTATGAATGAGAGGACTACAAGAAACCCTGTTATTAATAGCCTTGTTCAGACTACCTTAACCGACCCTATTCCCCTGTATTGTGGTCACTGATTTTTGTTACTCTACTAGACAGTATTGTTTTTTCATGTGATATCATTTGCTAATGTGTCCAAAGTACAATAACCTCAGGCCCTTTCTACACTGCCCTATATGCCAGGATCTGATCTCAGATTATCTGCTTTAAACTTATTATACAGATAAACTGGATTATATGTGTCACCACTGCCAGATAATATGGGATAAGAAGATCATCTGGGATCAGATCCTGGGATATAGGGGCAGGGTGTAAGAGGACTAAGTTTGATTATTTTGTATTTTAGTGAGAGTTCCAGGTTATTTGTCTTATTGGCAGTCCATGGTATCCATGGAACTCTCTCCCAGACCACATTTCAATTGAGTTGATTCTCTTCATTTTCACTTCTTTCACTATTAAATCTATGACATGGATGATTCTGACGTTGGTATTTAATTATCTATCTTTACAATTGAGGATCGTATGTACTACCTTTGTACCAGTCCTTCAAAGTCCCCAGTCTTCTTTATATTTCTTGAGTAGACAGTGGTCCCTCAATATCCACTGATGTTTGGTTCCAAGATTCTCCATGTAATACCAAGTAATTTTGTCTGGGATTTTCCCCTCCTGTTCATTGACTTCCACTTGCACAGTTGCACCACATCTTCTTAACTAGACTATATTACCCAACTTTATAGAAAGATCTGTATGCAACCATCTAATGGTGGAAAAAGGACACCACTTATGTCAAGGCTTCATCTGCACTACATATACAGACTCCACATAACTTGTGAAAGCAAAGGAAGCAATGAAACATAAAAGTAAAATGCGTTAACAGCAACTTGGAAATTTTGAAGACCATGACAGTGCCAATAGTTGCTTAAGTGTTGAAAGAACAGTTTTGACTATCTAATGTACTGTAACATGTGGCTTTTATAACTGGTAAAAAGTCTTGAGGGGAAACTTTCTTTGAATGAAAAGGGGTGAAATATAATTGGTCCCATTAGAGAACACTCATTGGCTTCTCTCATTTGTGTAAGTGTCGACTTACCATTCAATAAATAGTTCACTAGGTCTACACTAGTTGGTACTAGCAATTGTTGGCTGCATTGTACCCATGTAACTTCTGTATAGTGTACTTCCACACTTACATAAGGAGGCATCCTTACACAATTGATTTCCCATTGCCTCACAGATGAAATGATGGACTTTAAATTTTCAGGCACAGCTCTGCCCCCCCTCCCCCGCAACAACCAGAAAAGTTATAGATATTTTTTAGTTCTGTAATAACAGGTTTTCTGGCATATATTCTTTCTTATAGGGAAAAATATTATTTCCAGGATCAACATGAAACAAAGATCAAGGATCCTTTTCTGCTCACTGGCACTTCTGGTGAAACTTTGCTGTTACCTTGAAGTAGTTGCTGAGGAACCTCCCCAACAACCAACTAGAGAATCATGTGCCAATTGGATGGCGGGAACTCCAGGTTACCCAGGCCACAATGGAGCCCCAGGCAGAGATGGGAGAGATGGAAGGGATGGTGAGAAGGGAGAGAAAGGAGAACAAGGTGAGAAGCTTCAGTCTTCCATTCTGTTTACACCAGTGGTCCTCAACCTTCCTAATGCCGTGGCCCCTTAATACAGTCTCTCATGTTGTGGTGACCCCCAACCATACCATTATTTTAATTGCTACTTCATAACTGTAATTTTGCTACTGTTATGAACTGTAATGTAAATATCTGATATTTATTTATTTATTTATTATTTGAACTTATATGCCGCCACTCCCCTGGGGCTCGGAGCGGCTTACAAGAACAGACTAAAATCTAACACAATTTTAAAACAATTTAAAACCATTTAAAAACAGCAATATTAAAAGTCAAATGCCTGTAGAAACAGATATGTCTTACATGCCCTCCGGAAAGCTGGTAAGTCCCCCAAGGCATGGACTTCAGGTGGCAGAGTATTCCAGAGTGATGGTGCCACTGCTGAAAAGGCTCTGCGTCTGGTTGCTGTTAGACGCAAGGTCTTGGCATGGGGAGTTTCCAACAAATCTTGGTCCTCAGAACGGAGGGATCTCTGGGGTTGGTAGGGGGTGAGGCGGTCCCTCAGGTACATCGGCCCCAGACCATGCAAGGCCTTAAAGGTAAGTACCATCACTTTGAAAGTGATCCGGTTCTCAATTGGTAACCAATGCAGCTGCCGTAAGATTGGTGTTATGTGGCATCTCATCGGAATTCCCACAAGAAGCCGAGCAGCTGCATTTTGTACCAACTTGAGCTTCCGGATCACCGACAGAGGAAGGCCAATGCAGAGGGTGTTACAGTAGTCCAGTCTTGAGATGACCATAGCCTGGATCACCGTAGCTAGGTCATCCCTGGACAGGTAGGGGGCTAGCCGTCTAGCCTGCCGCAGATGAAAAAAGGCGGTTCTGCTAATGGCGGAGACCCGGGCCTCCATCATCAGCAGAGGGTCCAAAAGGACTCCTAGACTCTTTACCAATGATGATGGGCGTAGTGCCTCGCCATCCAGGGTAGGCAGCTGGATATCCCCACTGCCCGGTTGACCCAGCCATAGGATCTCCGTCTTTGCTGGATTCACTCTCAACCTGCAGGATGTATTTTCATTCACTGGACCAAATTTGGCACAAATACCTGATACAGCCAAATTTGAATACTGGTGGGGTTAAGAAATGATTAACACTTGGGCACTCATTTCTGACTAAAGATGAGATTATTGGAGCAGCCAGTTGTAAGTTTTAAACATATAATGATTGTAGTGAAACAGTGTACAGAAACCTAAGCATTGCTACACATGTTATGTACACACATTCCTTCTTCAAATGATTCCGAAGGAATGGCCAGGATAGTGTTCATTGGCCATATCATGAAAGGCCAATGCAGTTGCTGGACATGGTAGTAGTCACTAATGTAACACAAATGAAGAAGAGCTGTACTGACATAATGTTCTTTCTCACTTACTCCATAGGGAGGAATGACTAATAGATGCACCACCTTCAAGTGGAGAAGTAGGGAATGGGAGCCCACACCTCCATCACTCTTTCAGTCTGTGAGGAGATTGCCTGCCTATACACTTTGGGCATAGCAGTCAGATACAGAAGTGATAACTGAGAGGGAAAGGAAGAAGCACAAACTATACAGTTAACATAGTGCAGGGCAGTGTACAAGTAAAATCAATTTTAAAATATTAAAAGACTATAAAGTTTAAAACAATACAAATAATTAAAACACAGGGCATTTTACACTGTACCATTACAATATGACACTTTGATACAACTTACCTGCTATGATGACTGGCTAGCAAGAGACTAACCGACCTCCTGGGAGTGGTAATCAATTACTTCTACTCCAAACCATGTGTGTCTTGTGGCTGCCGCAGGTTCAAGTCAACTTGGGGCCACATTAAATGATCTATGTAGATAAGCTCTGTGAGGTGTTTTCAGCTGAGAGCCTTTGGATGAAGAAGAATATTCAAATCTAATTTAAATGCATTTGCTTGATAGGTGCACCTGGCCCAAAAGGGGATAGCGGAACTTTAGGAGTTGCCGGAGCTGAAGGCCCTCGAGGAGCATCGGGGCTTCCTGGCCTCCCTGGGCCGAAAGGAGAAAAAGGAGACAGTGCTACTGCTTATCGATCTGCATTTAGTGTTGGCTTAACAACCAGAGTCCCCTATCCCAATATTCCCATCAAATTTACCAAGATCTTCTACAACGAGCAAAATCACTATGATCCAATAACCGGGAAGTTCCGATGCATCATCCCTGGAGTATACTATTTTGCATATCATCTCACAGTATATGCCTCAGATGTGAAGGTCAGCTTGTATAAGAAAGACAAAGCAATCATCATTACTTATGATAAGTATGAGAAAAATGATGTTGATCAGGCATCTGGTTCTGTTTTACTCCATGTGGAAGTTGGAGATGAAGTTTGGCTTCAAGTGTATGGAGAAGAGGAAAACAATGGGGTCTATGCTGATAATGTTAATGATTCCACTTTTATGGGATTCCTGCTCTACCCAGATGTGGGCTATGGGCAATAGAATGTGGACTGGGAGGTAAAGGAAGAAGAATAAAGTTAGAATACCATTTTACAGCAGCATAAAAAAGAGAAAGGGAGAAAAGGGGAGTAGCAGCACCTTTAAAATTAACTGGTTTTTAATTTTTTTGCATGCGTTTTTATAGCTATAAACCCATTTTTTCACATACAGTACACTGATACTGTGGCAGAATGCTGACATTTTGTCAGTATAGACCCGTTAAACCAAATGCTGAATGATGAGCCAAAATCTCCTTGAATCAATTGATTTACTCTCATTGGGACTATAGTTAGGATTCAGGCCATGTTGACATTCATTGATATTCACGATGAAGTGATCCATAATTCACAATGCGTTCATCCAAGATAATTACTGAAAGTAATAAGTGTTACTTTTTTTTTTTACTAAAAACAGAAGTAACAGTGAATTTAATAAGGAAAAATATAGAACAACCAAATGCAATGTTGAGGTACAATAATTGTTTTATATTAATAGAAATATGATCACAACTAACAGTTGAAACATCATAACTAAGACATTGCTTTTAGAGTGGTTTTTCATATCTAAATTACTTTCTCAGATATATTTTAATACATTTTCCTTTCTTTTTACTGCGCAATGCATGACTTCTGCAACACCACAAGCGATGGATATAGTATGTACAGTACTACAATAAAAGAGTTTGAAAAAGAATATTGATCTTAATAAAAGTTGAATGAAATTGCAAATAAAATGTTCTGTCCACTTGCTATTCTATTTCACATTACATTCATTCTAAAATTAGATGGATCAATTTGGGAGAAGCGGGGGGAATAAAACAAACAGAATTTGGAGAAAGCTCTAAGAAGAAGTCTACATACTTTCATAATGAAACCTAGGTAATTTTAATTCTTCAGATAGTGTCTCCTGGCAATTAATGATTCAAAATCTTTCTGCTGGTTTTGGCTACCAGCCAACATTGTGTCATTCTTTCCTGTTCCCCTCATTTCCCTCTATATTATAGAAATGACCATTACAAAATGTACATTCTTTTCAGAGCATGTTATATGGGGCCCATATGTTTCTAGTTTTGTGTGGTTCATTTGCATACCTTTTTCCTTTCTTGCTCTTTGCCACACACAGAGACCTCTGCTAGCTACTTGCCTCGCAGTATTCCTTTATGATAACAAGAAACGCTTGTGAAAAGTTTTATGTTAAACACAGTTTGCCTAAAGCTAGCCATATATCTGAATCCATCAGAAATTAGCCCTTGAACTTTCTAGAGAGAAATGTCAATGCTGGATTTAGTTAAAATCAGGCTAATGTTAGATTTAAGAGCATTGAATATATTCAACTCAGGAAGCCCCATCGGGCATCTCCATGTCTCAAGAAAGGACAACATACACAGTGTGGTCCAACAGGATTAAAGGGACTGTATAGCAAATAGAATACAATATACTGCAATGGAATTATTGTGATTTTTTAAAAAGTCATATGATGTTTCATCAAGGAAATCATGAGAAATTTACATGGCAATTAGGACCAACCATCAACCATAAAGAGGACCATATAGGCATCAGCAGGAGACAGGTCTGCTACTAGCTCTTCTGCAGGTACAGATAGCAAAAGTTACTTTGTTATACTACAACTCCCCCATGTCCAGCACAGCCGCTACTCATGCTTTCTGGTTTGGAGCTAGTTGTAGTCCAGGAATGTAACTAGTTTTGACTGGAGGTGGATATAGTTTTGTTCCTGTCTAGTTTCAGTTTATGATTACCATCAAAGACACTTACCACCTCATCAGATGGGTAGTTTTTCTCGTCTTAGCATGTTGCTTAGTATGTTGCCAGGATAGTATCTGCCAGAGCCCATCCAATGATTCAGGGCTACTTCCAGTGGGGCTCTATTGGGTTCCAGCATGCTGGTCAGGTGTTAAGAGGGAACTCTGAGGAGTTGGGTGACTAGCCGCCTCCCCATTGAAGAAGGTGGGAAAAGCATGTAAGAACTGCATGGAAACATCATGGGATGGTAGCCCATGATCCACAACAGTAAGGGAACAAAGCTGATTGCTGCCCCCTGGGTTTTCCATGTTGTACCCAGGCTTCCATGTGAGGAGGTCCCTAGAGATTTTTCCACATGTCCTGTTGCCCAACCAGATCACCTAGTCCTATTCCCATGACCTTATTGGTTGATTGTGCCTGAACACAACAATTTCCATATCTCTCCATTGAATTTCATATTGTGTTTGGTCCAGTCTTCTAGTATGTTGAAATCCTTTGGAACCCTGGTTGTGCCTTGTCTTCTACCAGCTATCCCTCCCAGCTGGTATTATATGTAGATACGAAATTTGATAAACAACCTCATACAAGTAAATGGGACATGAGAGAAGCCTCCCACAGGATGGTAAAACATCTGGGCATCCCCTGGGCAATTTCCTTGCAGACGGCCAGTTCTCTCACACCAGAAGTACCTTCCAGTTTCTCAAGTCGCTCCTGAGATGAAAAAAATCCAAGTAAATTATAGAAATGTTAGATAGCACAATGCCGGGGACAGAGTACTGGTTGCAGTTGCTTCAACTAGCAGGAAGGACCAGTCCACGTTTTATTATATTGTTAACAAGGATATCAAGGAGAAGTCCATTAATTTGTTTAAACAAGATATACTGTATCAACAATTTACCAACAGTCTGCCAGGGAACAATTTTATTGCATATAACACCTGTCCACAGATATAAGGGTGACCTAGCAGGATATAGCCTTAGATAAATACTGGCTTGTAGTAATGAATGCACTGTGCCCTAAATACTCACAGGCTAACTGCTTATAATATGTTCCAGTGTTTGGTCTGATATTCAAAACTTGGAAATGTTATTTTCTGCCCTATAACTCTCAGAATTCCCCAGCCAACATGACAATAAAAGGGTAAAGTGGTTCTGAATCAATGTTATGCTTATGGAAGTTTTCAACCAGAACTTGGAAACTTTACTTTTTTTAGACTACAATTCCCATAAATCGCCAATCAGAAGGTCCATACAGTCTTAAAAGTTGACAATATCAGCTTCAGAGATATTAGTTATTTGTTCTCACAGTCATCTCTTCCATCTTCTGAAGATAGGACTTTTTAGTTGTTTGTTGAATGTGTGTCCTACCTTTCAAAGTGAGATTCAAGCTGAAGTATAAAACAGGATCAAAATTGTCTGGCTCTATCTTTCAACAGATTACCTATTCCCCCCAAAATCTCAAAGATTACAGCTGGTTCCCCTGAAATATTGGAATAAATTCAGTGACAGAATAACAAATAAAGGAAGGGATTTATCGGTTGCTGTGTGTAGAAGTCACATAGAAATCAGTGGATTGACTCAAGTTGAGATGGGCATGTGATTCAACCTGAGATTCATCTGACAATGTGCAAATTTGAATGCCAAGCAACATATTTTCTGATTATAAAAGCTAAATTAACTTACGTACCTTAGGATTTTGATCTGGGTGGTTCTTATTTCCCTTACCAGGTCCCACCTACCCAATTCCACATTATTCAAGAGAATACCCCGATCCTCAAAAGCAGTGGTTCCCAACCTTCCTTAATACAGTTCCTCATGTTGTGGTGACCCCCAACCATAACATTATTTTCATTGCTACTTAATAACTGTAATTTTACTACTGTTATGAATCGTCATGTAAATATCTGATATTCAGGATGTATTTTCATTCACTGGACCAAATTTGGCGCAAATACCCAATACGCCCAAATTTCAATACAGGTGGGGTTGGTGGTTGATTTTGTCATGTGGGAGTTGTAGTTGCTTGGATTTATAGTTCACCTACAATCAAAGAGCATTTTGAACTCCATCCACAATGGAATTGAAACAAACTTGGCACACAGAACTCCCATGACCAACTGGAAATACTAGTAGGGTCTAGTGAGCATTGACCTTGAGTTTGGGAGTTGTAGTTCACCTACATCCAGAGAGTACTGTGGACTCAAAAAATGATGGATCTGGACCAAACATGGCATGAATACTCAATATGCCCAAATGGGAACACTGGTGGAGTTTGGGGAAAATAGACCTTGACATTTGGGAGTTGTAGTTACTGGGATTTATAGTTCATTTACAGTCAAAGATCATTCTGAACCCCACCAACAATAGAATTAGGCCAAACTTCCCACAGAGAACCCCCCATAAACAACATAATTTACCTGATAACATTGCTAGTGACATTATCAGGTTTTTAAAAAACCAACCACACCAGATATTCTTAAAATACATTGCCTTTTCATAATTTGACCGAGTAGCCCTTGGACCATCCTGGGTCTATTCCTGGCTACTGAAATCTGAAACCAAGTCCCTGATCTTGCTTCACTGAGGCTGAATCTACACTGCCATATAATCCAGTTTCTGAATCCAAACTATCTGTTGTGAACTGGATTATATGAGCCTACACTGCCAAATAATCCAGTTCATAGCAGATAATCAGTATTCAGCCTGGCAGTGTAGATGCGACTGAGTGTTATTTCTGGGAGGAAGGGTGATGAAAAGGAACTTAGATGTAGGCCCTGCAAGAATCCACAAGATGGTGCAATGGTATTAATAATCACTCTTTCATAGGCATCTCTAAATATTTTTTGCTACACATAGATGGAGGGAGAAAATCCATGGAGATGACTGATACTAAATTTTTGTATCCCGCCCTCCCAATCAAAACTTTGGCTTCAGCATCTCTCGGTTTTACCATATGAGCCTATATACATATTTGCGATATTGGGAATTCCCCCCCCCCCCTTGTATATAAAATATCTGAGAACATTCAACAGCTGTACCTCCAGGTTATTGCCTTGACAAATACTGCTCAGGTGTTTCCTCACATTTTAGTACATTGTAAAAACACCATATGTAATCTTGAGGTACATGGGCTTATATAGCACCCAAAGGCTTAATAAATTATGTATCCTGTTTATTATCCAGCGACTCCTCCATATAGATGAGCTGAGCACACTGCTGCCTCTAAAAACACCATAGATGGCAGTAGAAGTTGTAGCCATCAATGGTGTTTGAGAGCCAGCAAAGAAGTGGGACCTTTGATAAAATGATACAATGTGGAGTGTTCCTGTTCAGTGATCCAGACAGCCAGGCTTAGCCTCTTTCAGGATATCTGATTCCATTCACATACCTGTTACCCCAGGTTTCCACCCAACCCCAACAGTGAATTTTGCACATCTGCTCAACATACTCAGTCTTCATTGGGTTCTAACTACATAAGAAACAA